CAGCAGCAGGCGGTGGCTGCCGTCCCTGTGCCTCCTGCGCCCAGTTCCCCGCCCCCGCTGTGGGCCGGCCTGGCCAAGCAGGGCCTGTCGATGAAGACGCTGCTGGAGCTGCAGCTGGAGGGCGAGCGGCAGATGCATAAGCAGCCCCCGCCTCGGGAGCCTTCGCGGGCCCAGGCTCCCAACCACCGCGTGGTGAGCAGGCTGGGCCTGGCCCCTGCTGGCTGGCACCTTGGGGCCCTCGGGAACCCCTTCCGGTCAGCTCCCGGGGTGACCCGGGGTGGGGGGCACACTGGTCCCCATGTGACCCTGGAGGCGCTCTCTTCTGTGAGGCCCTCACCTCACCCACCCTCCGTGCCACCGGAACGAACCTCCCACTCAGCGTTCTTGAGTGTGTGTGTCCCGGCCTGGGCCACCCTGACTCACTGTCCTCTGTAGCAGCTCGGGGGCCTGGGCGCCACCCCCCTGAACCAGTGGGTGTCTGAGGCTGGGCCGCTGTGGGGCGGGCCCGACAAGAGTGGGGGCAGCAGCAGCCTGGGGCTCTGGGAGGACACCCTCAAGAGCAGCGGGAGCCTGGCCCGCAGCCTGGGCCTGAAGAACAGCCGCAGCAGCCCCTCTCTCAGGTGGGTGCTGGGGCCTGCAGGGGTGGGGGTGGAAGGATGCGGGACTCCTGAGCTCATTGCTGTCTTTGTCTCTGATTCACCTCCATCCCGCTCAGCGACTCGTACAGCCACTTGTCGGGTCGGCCTGTGCGCAAAAAGACGGAGGAGGAAGAGAAGCTGCTGAAGCTGCTCCAGGGCATCCCCCGGCCCCAGGATGGCTTCACCCAGTGGTGTGAGCAGATGCTGCACACACTGAGCACCACGGGCAGCCTGGACGGTACAGGCGGCTTTCCCCGGGAGGCCGGGCTGGGGGTACCAGACCCGCATCAGGTGGGCTCTGACAGCCCCATCCTGCCCCGCAGTGCCCATGGCTGTAGCGATCCTCAAGGAGGTGGAATCCCCCTACGACGTCCATGACTATATCCGTTCCTGCCTGGGGGACACGCTGGAAGCCAAAGAATTTGCCAAACAATTCCTGGAGCGGAGGGCCAAGCAGAAGGCCAGCCAGCAGCGGCAGCAGCAGCAGGTGAGGTTTCACAGAGCCCTGGCCAGAGGCAGTGAGGGCGCCCAGTGCTCCCCTGACCGCCCCCGCTCCCTCTCTGCTGCTTGGCAGGAGGCTTGGCTGAGCAGTGGCTCCCTGCAGACAGCCTTTCAGACCAACCACAGCACCAAACTCGGCTCTGGGGAGGGCAGCAAGGCCAAGAGGCGGGCACTGATGCTGCACTCGGACCCCAGCATCTTGGGTGAGTTTGGAGTGGGGAGGAGTCTCCTTGCTCAGCACCGGGCAGGAGCCTGGGTGGGTGAGCTCAAACCCAGCTTCCCCTGGCTTCAGGGTACTCCCTGCATGGACCTTCTGGTGAGATCGAGAGCGTGGATGACTACTGACCAGCCCGTCCCACCAGCACCCTGGGCTATGGACCAGGGGCAGCAGCAACGGCTTGGACCCCTGGGTCCCCGGCCTGCAGGCTCCCCACGAGGAGCATAGGAGGAAGCAGGGGCAGGGTCCCCAGCACTTGTTACAAACCACACGATGCACCTTAACTCACCCACCACGAGGCACTTTACAGATTGGGGGGAAGGGTTTTTTTGTTTTGTTTTTGTTTTTAATTTTAAACAACATTGAAGAAAACATTAGAGACAAAAAAAAATTGTTAAGAAGGAGACTCTAAGCACTCCCTTTCCCTTTCGGGGATGGGGGAGCGACAATGGAAGATCCACAGAGGGTTTTTTTTCGTTTTTTTTCTTTTTTTTTTTAAGAAAAAAGAAAAACAAACAAAAAAAATGGTTAGGAGACTGAAAGAAAAAACACACTGTTATTTTGGGGCAGTGGGGACACGGGCCCCACGGACCTGTCCTGCCTGGCCCCCAAGGCTGCACTTACCCTCCCTGCCCCACACGGTGGGCCACTGGGGTAACTGGAAGCTGGGGTGCCAGCAGTTTGCACAGCGAGGCCCCCTCAGCCCCGCCGGCCGGACCCGCTGTGAACGGCTCCCTTGTTGCTGTGACTGTGGCAGAGGCGTCTGAGGTGGGGGCCAAAGTAGCCCCTTGGCTTTGCTGCTTCTGGGGAAAGTTGCACAAATGGGCCAGGCCGCCTCAGCGCCCCAGGCCGCCACCCTGCGCCGGCTGACAGGGTGGATGGGAGAGGGCCGGCAGTGCCAACCTCATCTGGCTGTCAGGCCGGCAGAACTTCCACTCTGGCCCTGGTGAGGCGCTTCCCCCTCCGCTGCCATTCGGGGGGCCGGCCTGTGTGTGAAGCTGAAAGTCCCAGCTCCCTGCCTTGCCACATGAATGTATTCTCTGGGCCACGAGCCCCTGCTGCGCCCGCTGCCTCAACCCGAGAGGTGGGGGCGGAGCAGTTCCTCCAGGAGCTGGAGAGAGAGGCGCCACTTCATGACTGTTGTTCCTCCTGTGAAGGGGGCAGGCGAGGGGCCAAGGAGGCCATGGGAGTGGGCCGCTTGGGGCTTCTGGTTGCAGTGCGGGGCTGTTAGAAGGGAGCCCCCCACCTGCAGCCAGCTGTGTGGGAGATGGACCACCCAGCTCGGCCCTGACCCCTCCATCGACCAAATGGTAGAGGAGCAAGCGGCCTCTCCCCTCCCTGCTCCCCTCATGTTTTTAAATGTTGGGTAGGGTGGGGTGTCAAGAATGGGAGTGTCTATCTCTCCTGGGTCGGGGGTAGGCTGCCCTTCACCAACTTATTCCCAATCACCTACCTGGGTTTGTCTCCATTTGGGTTGTTTTTTTTTTTTTTTTTTTTTTTTTTAAGTTTGTTGTATCTTTTGGATTTCTCATTTAACTTCTCCCGTGGACCTCATTGCTCAGAGCGCAGTATTAGGGCAAGATTCTGCCACTGCCTCCCCTCCATGAATGTATTTATCCTTCCTGCCCTGGGGAAATGGGGAGTGGCCCCAGTTTTCTTTCCTCATCTATCCCCAGAGAGATGATTTTTTTAACTTTTTTTTTTTTTTTTTTTTTTTTTTTTTTT